TTCAGAAAGTTTAGCGGTAGGGTAGTGTTAACTAGCAATGTTTAATTAAATATGATTACAGGAAGTTCCTCAAAACTATACCATATATATGATCCGGATCGACCTCGTGTTTCTTGGGAAGCATAAGAACATTAAGTATTACTATAATTACTATATTACAGTACGTAGTAACTTCCTGATCATTTTGATCGTGTCCTTCGTTTTTTATGGAACAGCTTAGTATGGTTCTTTTAGTTACTTTCTGTTCTTCCTACTGCGTATATTTAACAGTTATTCTACGAACACGAGTCGAATAAGAGCTGAGGCGCGTAGCGCCGAATCGGCTATCGCTCATATTCGACGAGAGTGAGTGGAATAACTGTTTTATTATATACACAGGGTCTGAATTTACAGAATTTGCTTTTCGGATACTTTCAATATTTTTCTATTTTGTTTATATTTTTACCTTCGCTATTTCGGCCAAGTATTTTTTCAAAAATATTTATTTTTTAACCATTTTAAATTTTAAACATTCATTTGCTAACCTGTAAACAATTTGTGCGAGTTTTTCATTGTGTTTTTAATCCTGTAAAGGTTATAAAAAGCGATCAACTTGCCGTTTTCTCGTTTGCAAAATGTCGGAAAATTTAGTTTGAGCCACCGTTTTGTTTTTTTTTCTACTAGCAGGATATGAGCTGATATCCTGCTAGTAGAGAACCAACGTAAAACTTTAAATCCATTTAAATGTTACTTATGAAATAACCAAATAAATAAAGCAACAGAATTTAGTGTTCCGCAAGTTTTAGTGTGCATTTGTTAACTTAGTTGTAAAATATTTCAAAAATAGAAGGATTCAAAGTTTTACGTGCGTGTACTGTACGTAGGAAAAACGCAACAGTGGAAATCAGATTTTAGTTGCAAGCCACGATAATAACAAGGTCAAGGTTCAAACTGATTGACTGTTTACATTTATTTATTTATTTATTTATTTATTTAATATTCGCCCAAATCAGTTTATAAAAATAACAACTTAAATAAAAAAATAGTAGGGCTAGGAACCTTCTAGAAACCACAAGGCTTTGTTTTGTTTAAGATCCCTAGTTAGTAGTTACAATTCAAATAATATAATATTGATAGTTAATACAAGTGCAATTGTTTTCAAAGGAATTACGGTGATATATTTACAATAAGGAAAGTGCGTATAAATATATATTAGACTATAACAACTATTTGGCTTTTCACTTTGTGCTAAGAATCCTACTAATTTAAATTTGACAGAAGAAAACATATTTTCATTGTCGATTTAAATATTGGAAGGGATCTAATTTGCTTATATTGCGTCGGAAGATTATTCCACACATCGATGCCGTTATTACCGAGCGTGTGTTTTTTATAATTTGTTCTAGTACAACTTTTGTGTAGCAATGATGCGTTTCTTGTGTTATAATTATGGATTTCTTTGTTAGTTAAAAAATATTTATTAAAAATTTCTGGAAGATTTAATTTGTAAATGAAAATATCGGAACATGAATAAACTTGTTAAAAAATCATTTAATTTATACAAGTTTAGTATTTTAAGGTCATTAAAAATTGGTTCAGTATGGTCAAAATAGGATTTGAAGGTCATTAATCTTTTTCTGGATATTTACTAATTTTTTAACTGTGTGGGATTTGTAATCGTTACCTCAAACTAAATTACAGTATTTAAGATATGGACAGACCAATGCGTAATAGATATATTAGTTTAGTTTTAAGGAATTTAGGTTTGTAAAATGTCGTATTCTGGATATAATAGCTGTACATTTGATAATTGTTTTTTGAAATAAGATCTTTAGGATCGTATCATGATAATAATTCATCTATACCAATCCCTAAAACGTAGTATTTTTACTTGTTTTATAGTTTTTTTCTATTATATGAGTCATGTAATATGTTTCCTTTACCAATTTATAACTAAATATTGTTATTTCCTCCAAATTTAATGCAGTAACTTGATCTATTAATATATCAATTATCATATGTCAATCAACCAGCACATGTATGTTAGTTAGTTATGATTATATACCCGAGTAATAAACAAGTGATTATTTATGTTATATGAAATGCGTGCTTTATAACTCTATATTGGCGACGAGGATCAAACAATAATTGCGTACAGGATGACCGACGCACCATCAAGCAGCAGCACAACTCCCAATAATGCCACAATGCACAGAAACCTCACAATAAAACCATTTATCAAGCAGACAGACAGCAACAATGCAGCGGTAAATTGGCAAAGATATAAGAAGGAAATTGAGAGACAGTTTAGGTTCTTCGGTATTAAGGACCCTGAAACGATAAAGGACGAACTAATGATTTACGGGGGACAAGATTTAGTCGATATTGACGACGCGCTTCCCGATCTGAACGGCACAGAAGACGACGACGCGTATAAATTACTTATCCCGGGCCGCAAAATGGACAATCATTTCATTCCTAAGAAAAACAAGGACTTTGCTCGATTTCAACTCAGCGAATTGAAACAACAAAGCTCCGAAAGACTAGCTGAATATTACGCCAAGATACGAAACATTGCAAAGAAATGTGAATACGCAGATCATGAAGACGATGCTATACGTGATCATTTGATACGAACAATGCTCAATCACAAAATTCGAAGCAAAGCTACTGTATACGCAAAAACTGGGGGCATTAAATAGAATCCTAACAGAGACAGCTATCGACGAGCAAACTACAGAGCAAGCTGACGCTATTAACAAGAAAATCAACGAAGAAACCGCGCACGAAAGAATAAAGAAACTGGCTTTAAGAAAACCTACACGACACCCAACTAAAGATGACGCATGTGGACGCAGCGGGAATTCAAAGAAGCACACCACTTGCCCTGCTATTGGTGTTTCGTGTGATAACTGTAGAAAGAAAAACCACTACCAGGGCCCGCGGAGCGTATTAGAGAGTGGGGGGGGGGGGGGG